TATAGAATGAGTATAAAATGCTGCTTTCACTTTGCAAAAAAAATGCCAACGTACAAAATAAAATGATTATTAGAAGTGCAGATTTACCAAAACAAAAGGGATTGATGTAGAAGTGAATTTATCAACAAAAGTCATAAGACCATTATTTACAAATACAGGGTGTGGCAGAAATACCTCCCACATAATGGTAAGACAGCTAGATGAAGACAACATTGTCACTAATGTCCTACCATTATATGAAATGTATTTCTGCAGCACACTATACTTTTAATAAAGAAATCCTAAAACTATTAGTTTTATTCATTCATATTATGTAAGATAAAGTAGAAATGGAGCCCATTTAAGTTATTATTAAAAGCTTTTATTTAAAAAACAAAAAACAAACAATTTTAAAGTTTGCTTGATATTGTTATTTTGACTTTAATACTAAAAAACTTGAAAATGTTAAGAAGCATAAAATAATTTATTACAGAAAGTGATAAGTATTTTGAGTAAAGATTATTAATAAAAGGTTAAAATTCTAAGCAAGTTAGTATGAGAAAAAATGGATGTTCTTTTATTATACAAAAAAAATAAGGAAAAATTGGCCAGAATATCCCCAGAGGTTAGTAAAACAACATGTAATAGAACAGATTAGATGATGATAATATTATAATAATAATAACAATGAAGAATGGAAATAAAGAGAGATATAGTAAAGAAAAGAGAAATAAAAGAAACAATGAATGAGAGGAAGAGAGACAGGAAGAAGAAGAAAAAAAATAAGAAAAAAGTTTTAAGATGAATTAACAAAAAAACAAAAAAAAAAAACTCTGTTTCTTCAGAAAAGCACCTTTGTGAAAGGTGAAATTTTAATATTGGGTTTCCAAAAAGTTCATTCAGTAAAAATAAACAAAATTTACTAATATAAGAAAAACTAATTTTCAATATAATTTTATAAAACATTTAGTATTTTGTTCCAACTTCAGCCATCTTTCAGGCAACTTCAAAAATCCATCCTCACAGAACTTTCTTTTTCAGTAAAGAACTGCTCTGGATGCTCTTCACATTTTTTAAAGGGATTGAATTTTTTTCTCCTCTAAAGAGAATTCTATGCTTACAGCCACACCATGTTGAAACACTGCTTATGGTACAATCATTGAAGTTAAGCAACATCAAGCTTGGTCAGTACCTAGATGGGTAACCGCTTAGTATACCAGGTGCTGTAAGCTTGGATGTGTGGGTGTTATAATGGGTAATAGCTTGGAATTGTTAATTGGCGAGCTGAGCTCTAATTCCCATCGAGTTTTCTTTTTATATTTACTTATGTGCAAATACCCCTGAGAAATGTATGGATCCACCTCATCTCCCCCCATATAGGTTAATTACTTGTATCACTAAACCATTATTATCTCAAAAAAATTCTTACAACCTAAAAAGAATATTTTCTGGCTTTAAATAACCCTCAAAGGTTTGATAAGCTATGGAAAATGAATCAATCAATCTAGTTAACCATTATCACACTGTGTGATTTCATTTGCTTTGCAAAAAGTTTATCCTGCCACTGAAGGTGACTAATCCCTGAACAATAATGTGTTTGAATTTCATAGTTGTGTTGTCATATCCTGCTATAGCAACAGAAAACAACTTTGAATGAAATTAACAATAAGGATACTGCAATTGGGAGGCCGTGAAAAAGAATGCAGTGGAAAGGAAAGTAATGTTAATAATGCAGAGAGTGCTAAAGGTTAAAGAGAATTCGGTAAAGACCAGGTCTTTACCAGGTCCAAATCTCAAGATGCAATATTTGGTGAATGTAATAAATGAGTGAAAACTTCTGGGCAAAGATGTAACAATTTTTATCTGGTCACCAAAGAAACATACAATCTAGTGCTATCCTAATAGAATATTATAAACTTTTCTATTAACTAATTCCAGATTTTTTTCATTGACTGTTGCCTTCCATTGTTCTCATTGAGAGCACTACTTATTTAAATCAATCAATTCCAGAAAATGCTCACAATAAAAGACATTCTTTTAGTTCAAGCTTATACACAGCATTACTTTCTTTGGGTTATCAGATTTCAACAGCTATTAGGGAGATGTGATTAAATATACTTTAATGTTTAAAAAACATTTATTTAGTATTATTATTGTTTAGATAATAAGCATTATAACATAGCACAAATAGCTATATATGCATTTTTTTGTACATATTTATGGTTATTTTTTAACTTTTAATATCTGTTAGCATTCCATGGAAAAGGCTTGATATAAAGGGAATAATATCACATGATGCAATATATGAAATACACTCTTTTGTTAAAGATAGAAGATTATCAAAAACAAAGACTGTCTTGAAGGACAGTATGTTTTTTCTTCTAAGCCATGGCTATCTTAATTTTGATGAAAATGATGAAAAAGATTTTAAAGCAAACTTAAAAATTACATAAAAATTCTTATGAAAATTCAGATACAAAATTCTGACTATTCTGATTTTATTAATTAATTAAATTTAAAATTATAGATTAATTACTAATTTTTTAATTAATAACTATTTGTGCTCAGTTGTTGACATTAATAGCTATCTGCTGATGTGTTAAAATTTTTGGAATAATGCAATAATAAAAATTTAAATTTCATTTCTTTGATAGATGTTGTGATCTGTAAAACTGAACTTTCATACAGAGGTAATTTAATTTTAGCTTTAACCAGGATCTCCTATATTCTATTTATTGTATTCACTTTTCATCATCAATCAGAATTTGTTTAAAGAAAAAAAAAATGAACATCTGCATTATGTTGAAGTAGCTAATCACAGAGAAATATCATCTCAAAGATTTTTTGTCTAATTCATTTTTTTGGTTTATGGCTACATCACATTGAAAAACTGGTTCCTGTACAATCACTGTAGTTAAGCAATGTCGAGCTTGGTTAGTACCGCTACTTGGGAATGCCAGGTGCTGTAATCTTGGATATGCATGTAGTGTAATGGATAATGGCTTGGAATTGGAAATCAGAGAACTGTGTTCCAATTTCAGTCGGGTTTTTTTATTATTCACTTATATGCAAATACCCTTGGGAAAGGTATGAATCTATCTCTTCTTACTCAGCTATGGATTAATTAGTAAAACTTGTATCATTAAATCATTATCCCCCAAAAAATAAAAAATTCTTAAAATCTAAAAATATTTTCTGGCTTTAAATAACCTGCAAAGGGTTAATAAGCCACAGAAAATGAATTAATCATAATCCATGTAGAAGTAATACATCAAAGTGATTAACATGACCAAGTTGGCGTAAATACTTTTCAAAGCATGAATGTGATATTTTGAGTATGTTGATTATCTCCAGCATAGTATAACACTAATACTTAAGTAATAATAGAAAAATAAATGATAACAAGGAGACCTAAATTTCACTATCTCTAAAAATAAATGTATATTCAGAAACACTAAATCATATTTCAACCACTCAATCAGAAATCTCAGGACACAAATGTCATAGTCTGGTAAGCAAATCAGAAACAGGATCTGTTCCCAACCAGGATATAAAGTCACTGATTGTGGATCAATCAGAAGCCAATCAGCAGATCATATGTGTATAATGAGAGGGAAAGTCACCCTAAATCAGAATCGGTGAATTAATTTTGTCCATTATCTGATGATGTGGTCATTGTAACATACCCAAAACCAAAATACAACACATGCAATCCACACAGTTTTGTATAAACGCGTACATTAAAAAAAATTAAGAAATATATATATGCCTGCAGACATGACAGTTGTTATAATAGTCTTTTTCCAATGGAGTTAGAAGTAAATGCTTCTAAAGGCCTCTATTGAGCTACTGAATATATAAATGATAAATAATTGATACACTATCATTAGAAGTATGTAACTGAACTGAAAACATTTGATATTAGAAACCAGATAACTTTGCTGAGTCATTTTTTGAAAGAAAATTATGATGGACAAAAAAAAGATTATCAGTGAATTATCTCCCTTGCTACCCATTATTATGTACAAAAGAGGAGCAGACTTTTTTTTGCACCTCATGCAAAAAGTAAATGAACAATTGACAGTATGCTATAATTTGTATTTAATAGTTATTTACATTGCCCTTCTCCTTACCATGAGCATAAATGCAGACCCCACAATATTATTAAGTTGCATGTCACTGAAATGTTTTTATTTTTGCATTAAGTAGTGTTGCATGTTGAAATCAAGTTACCAAAATGTTGCAGGTACTGTTCCTAGTTTGATTAGAGTAGTTGCAACAATATTTTGAACATGTTAGTAATAAGTGTAAGGAAACAATGAATTTCAACAAGGCAATATTTTATCTTTTTTTTTGTTTGTTTTATTATATAACTGAGTAAAAAGAGAGAAAATATACAAGTATGCATGCAAAAGAAGGACATTATAAGTTAGAAATTGTCTGTGTAAGTTCAGTTATTAAGAAGAAGATGATAGCCCCTTACCCAGGAGTAAGGTCTTGTTGGTAATGTCACTAAAGCATGCTTGGAGAAAAAAAGAGATAAGAAAATGAATTGTCCTGTTTTTATAGGTGCTTTACAGCACCCTCTAACAGCTTCTTGTCAAAACTGCCGAAGCTATGTCGGGATAGTTCACAGTAGTGAGCACATTTTAGTGCTAACTTAATTCACTACATCTGGGTACAATGCACAGTTTTGGCTACTTTGGAGTTGGACAGACATACAAAAGTTTTAGTATTATATAGATTATATAACAGAATATTTCCCTATACTCCTCACCCTGTCACCATAAAAAGTATTTTACAAGAGAATGCTGAAAAGTTCTCAGCTTAGCCAATAGATCCTTACAAAAGTAAAAAAGAAAAAAGGTAAAATAGTCAGGCAGAGAGCTTTTTGGTAACCCTTTTTACTGGAAAGTTTGCATGCATATAAAACAAAGAACAGGCTGAAAATTATATAGGTTAGATAGTTTAGTTTTGTTTGTTTTCCTTTTTCACATACAATTCAAAAGATTTACACTTACTTATTATTAGAAACTTCCAACATTTTTCTGTGTAAATAAAATTCATGATCAACATGAAACAAATAGGAATGCACATAAGAAAAACTCACAAAAAAAACTACAATGATTATTTCTTTATTCTGAAAGAATGAATAGATTTAGAGGCTGCTACCAACTAAGATAAATAACCCAAATATTGTCATATAGCTCTTCCAATTATTTTGTTGCAATCTCAGTTATCAGCACAGGATCTTGGGCACATTAACATCTATATGAGTTATTTTCTTTTTCACTAATACTATATGAAAATGAGCAAATAAGCATAGATGTTTACTGTCTTGTATGAAAGAACTTCATAAAAAAGGAATATCTGTATTACCCATTTTAGATGAGAGATGTAAATAAGATGGATTATTTTTTTTAATCAATTCACCCCAAGCAAGATGATGATGCTACTAAGATTCAAGGGAGTAAAAGAGAATTAAAAAGACTTTAGAATAGACAAGAAACAAAGAATAAACTTCTACTTCTGTTCAAAAGACTGGGGAGGAATGTGAACCAGACAATAGGTAAACTTATGTCATTAATAATAGGAATAAATAAAAAAAGAAAGCAAAAAAAATGAAATTTGAGAAAAGAATTGGATTAAGCCACATACTTTGGAACTTGTTAAAGCATGAGACACCAAACAGGGAGACTGGCACAAGAGCAAAAATATTAGCATTAAAAGCCTGAAGGATATTTGGACATTTTTCTTATATTTATTTACTAAGCTGAGCTTGACACAAGGCCATAATAATACAGTGCTCAGTATGAATTTAATTCACAATTCTAGCAATGATCACAAAAGTAGACACTTATGTTTTCCTAATTGTATGCATTTTTGTTAAACCAGTCTCTGTAAGATGGACTCTCTTTTGAAAAATTAAAAGGGTCAAGGTTCAAACCATAAGTCACAAACAGGCATCTGACTTGGTTAAAATATTGTACAAATATTAGTACTGAATCAGCATTATTTTAAAAATGGTTTAATAAAATTAATTTCATTCATTTAGACTAATACAGACTCTGAATAATTTCAGGTTTAGTGAAATAATTGAACATTTTTTTTTCTTTTTTTTTTTAAATGTTTCATATTTTCAAAAGACCTTTCAATTTTTTGTTTGAACTACTGTTATATAATAACAACTCTAAGTAGAAGCTCATGAAGCCTTATTTAACTCGTCCACCTTTAGTACTGAAAAACGTTTATCTTATTGTGATGGATGGTTACAAGCAAGAAGGGAGATGGGATGCGCTTATTTTATTAACACAGGTGCCATTAGTAGACTTTTTAATATCATAAAAACATAAGGTTTCATTACATAAAAAACAGAAAAACATTTCAAAATATACAACTTATAACGGTAATCATCTAACCTAAAACTTCACCACTCATTTTGATTCCAGAGAGCATTAAATTTTTTAAAGGTAATTACCTTTAAGGTAAAAGGAAAATTATACTTTTCTTTTTATCCTTCCTATAAAAACCTATTCATAATTTTTTTTTCTATACTTCTTGCACAAAAAGTTCCTTGGAAACAAAAAAATATCACCTTAATTAAGTTCTAATATATTAAATCTCATACAAATATATCCTAATTTCAGTTTCAAGATCAATTTTCATATCAATAAACCAAAAAGAAAAAAAAAAAGTTTACTTACGCAGAAACAGTCTCCATAACTTTTGATGAGGCATCTTTGATATTTTTGAAAAGACTTCCTCCAGCTCCTTTAAGGGAGCTGAAGAGCTGACTGGCCCCAGACGTAGGATATCCCTGGGTCATTTCGGAAGGGTGGTTGTAATGACAAGCAGGTGCTGATGGAACTTGAGGTGGAGGTGGCCGTGGAGGGGGAGTGGTGTTTACTGACTGATGTTCAGGAGTTGATGGGGATGTAGCTGAAATAAAAACACAAAGGAAAGAGAAATTTTAGAATATTAATTTCTCTCTCTCAGGGACAGTGGCTAGGTCAGGTGACTGTCAAAGGTTCAATTTTTGAAGAGGCTAACTTTAAAGTGGAAAATTCTGAACTTACATCTATCAGAGAGATGAAATTTAAATTTTTATTATTGCATTATTCCAAAATTTTTAGATAGCTATTAAAGTCAACAACTGAGCACAAATAGTTATTAATTAAAAAAAATTAGTAGTTAGTGTATAATTTTAAATTTATTAATTAATAAAATTATAATAGAATCACATTTGTATCCAAATTTTCATAAGAATCTTTGTGTAGTTCTTAAGTTTGCTTTAAAATCTTTTCCATCATTTTCATCAAAATTAAGATAGCCATGGCTTAGAAGAAAAAAACAATGTCCTTCAAGACAGTCTTTGTTTTTGATAATCTTCTATCTCTAACAAAAGAGTGTATTTCATATATTGCATCATGTGATATTATTCCCTTTATATCAAGCCTTTTCCATGGAATGCTAACAGATATTAAAAGTTAAAAAATAACCATAAATAAGTAAAAAATGCATATATAGCTATTTGTGCTATGTTATAATGCTTATTACCTAAACAATAATAATACTAAATAAATGTTTTTTTAAACATTAAAGTATATTTAATCACATTTTCCTAATAGCTATTGTGATCTGTTAACATAACAAGCAAGAAAATCAACTCAGCTGTGTACTGCATTTTCTTAGACGAGGTTGACAAGTGGGAAGTTCACATTTAGAGCAAACCTTCTCATGACTATAACACATTAGCTGTGTTTGATCAGCAAATTTGAGTAACATTCAAGTGACAATATAATTTTAGACAAAAACTGTATGACATTTTTTTATTGAATGGTGGTACATGTTTCAGGACTTCTGTTCCTTTCATCAGCTAAAAATTTACACTGATTTAATTTTTATGTCCAAATGCCACAGTACAATATAGACTTGTAGATAAGGGCAAATTGATTTTGGAACCATAGTATTGCACTCAAGTTGGGATTTCACATGATAAATAAAATATTTTTTTCCAAATCATTACCATTTTTTGAGGAAATGAGTTTAAAGATTACATTTAGGTTCAAAATCATAATGTTGGAATTTAATTCTGGTGATCAATGAAAGCCTTCTGGCACAGCTTTATAAAATTTATAATTCACTGAAGCTTTACAAATTATATATGGACAAGATGCATGACACAAGCACACCATTACTAAATCATTGTGCCATCAAAAGACCTTTATTTACTTCAAAACGAAATTATACTGAACAATTTAACTATATTATGATACATGTTATATAGTACTGTAGATTTAGTCTAATTTTCAATAAACAATGCAAATTTAAAACATTTTGTCTTATAGTTTGTGCCCAGCAGTATTATGGTGTTATATACACTTTTATCTACTTTTTGTTTTTATTAATTACAATCTAACAAATCTTATTCATTGAGTAGTGATTTTTGTAATCTTTGATAATTGTTTTTTTACAGATTTTACTTATCGAATACAGTAAAAAATAAAAATAAAAATAATGCATATTTTGCATATGGTGGTTCATAATTAGAATTCTGGTCTGAATATATTTTCCATTCAATGTATCTAAAACAAAAGATAAACTGAAAAATTTTACTATTTCAAGAATAAATCCAAATAAAGTCAGTTTGTAAGCAAAAACCTGTGGAAGTTAGGTATTTGTTTACATTTTTTTCAGATAATCTTTAAAACTAAATGCTTAAAAATTGGTGAAAATCTATGAATCTAATTTTTGGTGTCAGTACTTATCACGTCAAATCCCAGCTTTCACACCAAGTGAAAAAAAGAGAAAAATCAACCTGCCCTATTTTACATACATATATAGCGGTGTTTTTTGTTGAGCCAGGGCTGGGATTAATCTTGCACAAAGCAAGGTGGGTCGGGTCCTATGGTACTTCAAGTATAAAGAGTATTTTTATTGAGACACCATCTCTAGGAAGTTTGCTATTCAAGGCTTAATACTCCATCTTGAGTCCACCAAAAAAAAAAAAAAAGAAAAGTATACAGACTTCAGGAAAGGAAAAACTTTTCTTTCATAGTTTTATCAAATTGCAATAACACTGTTTGTTTACTGCAATACGATATTTTCTCGACATTGGTGACCCTTAGATAAGAAACTGAAAATGCATGTACAGCAATCCCACTGGACACTTTGGCCAACGTTGACTAAGCAGTAGTTTGCCATAGTTTGCCTAGAAGCTAAAGGTCACCATTTTGAGCAACTCTTGTGATTGCAGAGTCCAAAGGTAACTTGTATTAATCTTGTGATGTATGAATATAGTATTATAATATCTATACAAGTTTTTCCTTCACTGAAGTGTGTATACATTTTTTGGTAGACTCTCTCTCTCACCCTTTAGCCATCTATATCTAGAGACGAGACGCGTTAAATTTGAGCAACATCTAGCTGACATACTGGGGTTAAAAATAGGAAATTGAAATGATACATATGACACACTCATATCCTCTCTCCCACCTCACTTCCTCACTTTGTTAATTTTACGTATACTTGATGAGGTCCGTCAAAAACGTGTGAATTTCTTTTCATTTTTCATTTCAACTTTTGGAAGTAAAGTCTGATGATCCAGAACCCTGTAAAAAGGGGTCATGGTGAAATAACTTATTACATGGAATCTTAACGTGGTCTGTTTTTTATTCAAACATATCTGCTCTGAATTTTACATTGAGCTCACTGGATATCATCCTCCTCGGGTCTACCCATACGGATTACCTAAATTTGCATAAACTAAATAAATATATATATATATATATGAGAGAGAGTCTACCAAAAAATGTATACACACTTCAGTGAAAAACACTATATATATATATATATATATATATATATATATGTGTGTGTGTGTGTGTTGGCCATTGGCCCCTATAAGAAGCTCATCTACTCTTTGACAGGTTGTGTTTTTCATCCTGTGAAATAACATGCCACCCTCCTCACCAATAAAAAAAAAACTAATGAGGGAGCTGATTTAGACACCAACCACCCATCCATGCAGCTGGAATGGATAACAGGTTACCAGTAGCTGGCCTAAGCCTGATCTAACATTATTAATTCAATTATAATTCAAAATTCTTGGAAGAGAGGAAGAAGAAAATGAAAAAATAGGAATGTTGTGTAACACTCCTTTTTTTTCCTCCACTATCAAATTGCTAACTTTAAGGATACAAGGGTGGCAACTCAACATCTGTACTATTTTAAGATATTCTATACAACTGACCAATTGTTAAGGTTGCCTCACCATAAACAATAGTCAGTCATAAAAGATTCAGCAAGATGGCAAAAGTTAAAAATAAAACACTTGTAAAAGCGTAATCTTTCTTTTTGATAAAGCAATGAATAAATTGTAATGTGTGATGGTGTGAACCTATTTTCAACGTTTCCTTTCTAAAAAAAATAAATCAGACAGGAATAATTATATATATAATTTTATTGTTATCCAACTTATAAAATGATTATCAATACTGTTAAACAAAATTTTGATAGTATTTAATTAAAAGTTCAAAATTTTAAACTGTTTTCACCTATTAAATTCCACTGTAAAATCCAGTGCTAATTAAAATAATAAAAATCTGAGGTGGGTGTATTTTCTGTCTGTCTTAATGTTTTTTGTTTAAATCACTGTGCACTTTTATTTTATTTACATTGAATGAACTCTGACGAGTGACATGTAAAACTGGTTAGCTTATTCCATTTTTTTCTCCCTCCTTTTTTTTTCTCTTTTTTTCTCCTTGCTTTTGGTGCGTTTCCTGTACAGTAGTTGTGATTTTTTTTCTGTGCTTGATTTTTTATTATGTTCGTTTATATTGCCGTAATAAAGTTCTGTAGTGCTAACAATATTTTTAATCTGATATTAATAATTATTTTTTAAATGCCATGCCTCTTCAGGATGTAAGCAAACATGGCTCTCTACAGACCCCTTTTCTTTATTATCTGTAAAGTGTCATGCATTCTTCGAAATGATAGTGGAATGGTTTTCAGTTACTTTTGCCAAGGTTTGGAATTCATAGTTTTCCTTCTCTTAGACTGGTTGCCACTCAATGCTAGTTTATTTTACCCTGCTATTCAACCCATAGCTGGGAAGGGAAGAGATAGATTCATGCCTTTTTCAAGAGCATGATTGCAAAAGTGAATGCAACTGACTAAGCCAGAATTTGAACTTGGTTTGCTGTTTTCCCTTTTCATGGAGATATCCATTATGCTACTTTACTTACACATCCTTTATATTTTCTTGTGTGCCTTGTCCCTTCAGGATATGGACAATCATAGCTCTCCACAACTTCCTATCTTTTGTAGCTTTTAGTAAGAGCTATCTTTTCACCATTCCTTCCAATCCCTGTTCTGTCATCCATTTACCCAAGCTTAGGTAGATTACTCACAGCTTTCTGCTGTTCATTCTTTCAATATGTCCTGTGAGTGTCAAATTCTCTAAGTTTTCATTCCTCATTGCATGTCCTAGAAATTTCAATTGTCTCTTTCTAAATTTAAGTATAAATTGTCCTCTTTGTTTCCATTTTCTTAAAACATCCCCAGTCCTCATATGTTCCATCTATGGCATTCTAAGCATCCTTCTGTAGAATCACATCTTTGTTGCCTTGTCCCTTTTTCATTTGTGAGGAAATCAGCCAGCATTCACTGCTACATAGGACAATAGATATTGTATGGCAGTTCAGCACTCTTTTCTTTGTTTCTAATGACATTTTCCTATCTCTTAATACTTTGCTTAGTTTATAAAAGGCATGATGACATTGTCCAGCATTTACTACCATATAGGAAATTAGATATTATATAGTAGTTCAGCACTCTTTTCTTTGTTTCTAATGACATTTTCCTATCTCTTAATACTTTGCTAAATTTATGAAAGGCATGGGGAGATTATCCAGCATTCACTGCAATATAGATTACATATTACATAGCAGTTCAGTACTCTTTTCTTTGTTTCTAACATTTTCCAATCTCTTAATACTTTGTCTAGTTTGTGAAAGGTTTGGTTTGTTTTACGGCATATCAACCTCAATGGGTCATTTAATGCAGACAACTTTTTTTTTTCCTGGTAATATTTTTTTGTCAAAAAACTATTCTGTTAATATTTTTTCCCTCAAAAATGTATAGCTGGTAATATTATTTTTTTCAAAAACATATAGCTGGTAATATTATTTTTTTCAAAAATGTATAGTTGGTAATATTTTTTTTCTTCAAAAATTTATTTCTGGTAATAATTTTTTACAAACTATTTCTGGTATTTAAATTTATTTTTACACTTTTATAATGCTTTTTACCTCAGTTTCAGAGTTAACTATTTGCCCATAATTGTGACCTTAACAGGTGCCTCCTCAAAGCCTTGCTGTTGGATGTAGTTTATCATCTTACCCTGGACGCGGATGTAGTTTATCGTCATACCCAGGATGCAGTTTGTGAAAGGAATGAATTTCCAGCATTCACTGACATATAGGAGGACATATAACAGCTCAACACTTTTATAAAAGACCTGGTATTAATTAGAAGTTTATAAAAATCTAGTATGAATCCTAGGTCTCTTGTAAACCATTAAAATCCTCTGTCCCCAAAATGGGATGTTTGGCATTAATAGGTTTTGTATGTGTAAAAGTTGCCTCAGACTGACATTGTAACTGTGTACAGCAAGGCTTTATGATGTATTCTTTGGAGAGAGAATAAACGAGAGCAGGAGTTCAAGAAGTGATAATTGATTTTGTCTTAATTTTTATAAAGATATCATCTTACAAAAATGTAGCAACAATCCTCAAAAGTATACAATTCTTGCAAAAAAAAAAAAAAAAAAAAAATTTTAAAAATTAAAAAAAAAAAAAAAATTACTTACCTTGAGGACTCACGCCATTAGAAAATCCAAGCCCAGTTTTTAAATCTACATTACAAGCGACTGCAATTTGTTGTAATCTATCAATAAGTTCATTTATATTGGGACGATGGCGAGGATCAATTTGAAGCATGGAACCTACAAAAAGTAAAGAACATTGTATTGGGCCATATATTAAGATTGAAACAAAAATGGCTTTTCTAGAACAACCTGTACAAAAATCAGTTAATCCTAATTTATACAAATATATTTTCTAACAGTTAGTGTACCAATTCTCATACAATAATAATTGCTACTGACTTATCCTTTATAATTAAAGACAATTTAATAAAAACAGACAGTTTTAACTTCATTTTTGCCACGGTGATATGTGTTTTATGTTGCAGTTTTGTTGGAGTTATATTTCAAAATACAGTTTGATTTCTTTAAGAAATTGTACGATATTATTTGGATTAATGTCATGAAAGAGTTCTTTCATGTTGGTTGTTTAGTTGGCTGATTTTGTTTAGTGGCATATCAACACCTCTATAGGTTATTTAATGTAGAAATCTAAATATTTTGAATGTACTTTTATGTCTTCAACTACAAATATGTATTATTGGTCATTTTACTATAAAGATTGTTTGTCATTTTTTTATACACATATGTACTCCTGGTATTTTTACTATAAAAATGTATTTAATACTTTCATAGTGTCTTTTTGCTTGGGGGCTCACTATTTGCCTATAGCTGAGACCGTAACAATTTCTACCACCCCAGGTCAGGGTGGAACAGCAGCAATTAAGAAGTGGTTCCACACTCCTCAAAACCTCCAATCTCCCAATCAGAGGCTTTGCTGCCGGATGTAGTTTATCATCATAGCCAACTAAAGCCTGAAATTTATCTTACAGTAGATACTTTTTAAGCAAACAACTTTATTACATTAGCTGTGGATTACAATTCTGCAAACGTTTTGTTTGGTATGAGAGTTACACACATTTCCTGGATGATAAATAAAAATATAATTCAGAGAAAGTGTAAAGAATGAACTAATATCACTTACGTATCAAGTCATGAAAGACAGTGAAGGTATTATCAGTTTCAGGAATTGAATAATTAGCATTGAGTATTCGTAACTTAGCAGAATCTTCAAATGGGTGTTCATTAAAACACAACTGGAAGAGAAAGCAACCAAGAGCCTGGAAAATAAAATGCAAACATTAGCCATGTGCTAAAATTATAAGATTTTATAAAGGTGATGTAATATAGTTTTTTCCATCTTAGTGACACCAGATACAAAAGAAAAACTGGGGTTATGGGGGTTAGGCAGTGTAGAAAATAGCAACTGGTAAGGTTCCAGAAACAAGAGGATTGAGTTTAAAATATTTTATGTATTACTAGTTTGCCTGTATTGTCATGAAAAAGACAATGGCAATATTTCAAGTTATATTTTCTGCAAGAGTAATTCTATACAATTAACTAATGTCATATGAAGTAAAGAAATCTACTTTTTAAATTTAAAAAAATAAGAATATCCAAAGAAAGCTAGCAAGAAATAAAGAAATAAATAAAAACTAACACATTAACAGCCTGATCTCCCCTCTTTAATAATGTAGTTTTTACTTAGTGTCATCAAGTAATGCCATTTCTATTTCTTCAATAATAAGTGATCAGGTTACATGACTGACAAATATATAAAGTTAAATTGTTTTGGTATTATAGAATAAATTTTTATTATCAGTTATCTCAAGAAGATCTTATACTGTAATTGTCCAGCTCATACTCTTTCCTGGTCTTTTGAACAGGTGTAGAGATTTATCACTGTTTAGGATTGGATTTTCAGTTCCTTCTAAATTCCACTTATATGCCTAACATCTCCACCTAAATTGAAATTTATACTATTATTAGGTTTCCAGTCCCTTCTAAAGTCTTATCCTTCTCTTACACCTCCAGTAGCCCCCTTGCATCTTAGTAGCATTGTCATCTTGCTTGGAGGTGAATTGTTTAAAACAGACAAACACAAAAACAAACAAAAGACAAAACAAACAAACAAAAGACAAAAAAACAAACAAACAAACAAAAGACAAAAAAACAAACAAACAAAAGACAAAAAACAAACAAACAAACAAAAGACAAAAAAACAAACAAACAAACAAAAGACAAAAAAACAAACAAACAAAAAAACAAACAAAAAACAAACAAACAAAAAAAAAACAAAAAAAAAAAAAAAAAAAAAAAAAAAAACAAACAAACAAAAGACAAAAAAACAAAAAACAAAAGACAAAAAACAAACAAACAAAAAGACAAAAAAAAAACAAAAAAAGAAAAAAAAACAAACAAACAAAAGACAAAAAACAAACAAAAAGACAAAAAACAAAAAAAAGACAAAAAACAAACAAAAAAGACAAAAAAAACAAACAAACAAAAAAAAAAAAAACAAAACAAAAAAGACAAAAAAACAAACAAACAAAAAAAGACAAAAAAAAAAACAAACAAACAAAAGAAAAAAACAAACAAACAAACAAAAAGACAAAAAAAAACAAACAACAAACAAAAGACAAAAAAAAAAAACAAAAGACAAAAAAAACAAAAAAACACAAAAAAACAAAAAAAAAAAAACAAACAAACAAAAAACAAAAAAAAAAAAACAAACAAAAGACAAAAAAACAAACAAACAAAAGACAAAAAAACAAACAAACAAAAGACAAAAAAACAAACAAACAAAAGACAAAAAAAACAAACAAACAAAAGACAAAAAAAAAACAAACAAACAGAAGACAAAAAAAAAAAAACAGACAAACAAAAAACGAACAAAAAAAACCTGGTTCAAATGAACATGTTTCCTGTCATTTCTTCATCTCTCTACATTATCAAAACTGTTCTCAGAATTATGGTTGTCCCAAAGTGTTTTTTTCTGAAATATCTCAGTTTAAATTACAAACTCAATTTTACTTAGCCATTTTTGAATTTTCACTGTCACTACTTGTTCCAAGAGTGACCACAACAACAGAAACAGCTTCTACTTAAGCTCCAAATGATTATTATTAAAAAAGAAAAATGCTTTTTATATTTGAGTTATAAGTATAACTTTCTTTCATGTAAATGTTTTATTAAGAAATGTAACAACAAAAACATTGATCCCTGAGTAGCATAAAAAGACAATGAATTCTGTGATGACGTAACAGTTATACAGTATGAAATATTTAATATGAATAATTAGATAAAAATCATGAGACAAAGTATTAATCATAAACCAGCAAAGACATTAATGCAAAAGAAAAAAAAAAGTTATCAAACAAGTACAGAAGTTTAAATATCTGGGAAGTGTTTTAACAGCCAATGAAAAATGTGAAACCAAAATCTGAAGACACACTGGAATAGTGAAAGATGCCTTCCAAAAAAATAAGCAAAGTACAAAGAAACAGAAAAATTTCCTTAAAAACAAAGAAAAGGGTGCTGAACTCCTATGTAATATCAATCCTCTTATATGGCAGTGAATGCTGAACAACTTAAAGATGAAAAGGAGACTTGAAGGCAACAGAAATGTGGTTCTACAGAAGGTTACTGAGAATTCCATGGATGGAGTGAGTAAAAAACTAGGAAGTCTTAAAGAAAATGGTAACAGAAAGAACACTTAGAATCAGAAAGAGACAGTTGAAATTTCTTGGACACATAATGGTGAAGGAGGGCATAGAAAACACTCACTGGACATATTGAGAGAAGAGAAATAGATGAAGGCAGCAGGTCAACTAACTGATGAGCTTCTGAGAATGGATTGTGGAACAGGAGAAAAACTGTTAAAGGCCACAAGAGATAGGCAATCATGGCTCTCCAAAACTTCCTATGTCCTGAAGGGATGCAGAACATAGAAAAATAAGTCTAAAATAAAAAGAGCCTAACTCTTTTCCTGTCCAAAGATTTTTTTCTGAGTTTTTATTAAAACATGCTTTCTGTAGAGATTGATTGATTTATTTTTTATGCCTTATCAACCTCTTGCAGGTTATTTAAAGCCAGAAAATATTTCTGGATTGTAAGAATTTTTTGAAGATAATAATTTTTGAAGTCCTACTAATTAACTTATAGCTGGAGGGAGAGACAGTGAATTCATACCTTTCCCAACAATATTTGTGCATAAGTGAATATAACAAACCCAACTGGAATTGGAACTTGGCTCTGATTTCCAATTCAGGGCCATTATCCATTACACTACCCACACATCCAAGCTTACAGTACCTGATATTCCCAAGTGGTCACCCATCTAGATAATGACCAAGCTCGATGTTGCTTAACTTCAGCGATTGTATGAGAACTCGTGTTTCAATGTTATATGGTTATAAACCTTTTGTAGAGAAAAGCAAAATTATAGCAAGAAATAAAATTATGAGAAGAAGAAAAAAAAAAAAAACAGTGACAACTAGAACAGCCTTGACCAGAATTTGAACTTGGGCCACTAATTCCATTTTCTGAGTTGCTAAATATTATGCTACCTGCAAATCCAAGCCCATATTTGTGAGAATAAATCCTTCCTGGAATGTAATTGTTGCAATTAAAAGTACATAAAGGTTAAGTGCAAAATTACAAAATTAAATAAAGAGAAAAGGCCATCACTGATTGTCAGTGATAATGTGAAATGTCAAGTCATGCCTGGTTGTCTCTTGGCTGGTCAATACTATTGACACAGCTAGTCAGCAACTGACCACTGTGTATCTATTGAGCAGCACACAAGTAATAAAGTAATTGTATCGTTATTGAACAAGCTGATGGCAAATACTGACATTATCAACTGTGTTGATACATTTCAGGAAATTAAGGAAACAAGAGACAGACTGCAGGTCTTATGCTTCTTTCTTGAAAATAAATTTTCTGAAGGCATTTGGAAATTTTGAATAGAATTCTTTTTTTTCCAGTGAATAGAAAACGATATAAAACAAATAAATATTCTGATGTGCTATAATTTATTAATCTGAACCAGTTAACTGTGAATAATGAAAATTTCCACATTAATATATTTGAAAATGTAATTATATAATTGTAAATTCCATAATAAATTATAATGAAAGTTCATAAGGCCAGAATTATAGAGAAGATAAATGCATTAATAGCAACACAAATACATGAATAATCCTGACAATAATAAAAAAAAAAAAATTTTTTATTTTGTTTGTATCCTATCACCCCAAGCAAGGCAATAAAGCCACTAAGATGCAAGGAGTCTGAGTGTGAAAGAATACAAGAAAAAGAAAAAACATTAAGTAGAGAGAACAATAAAAGAACAGAAATTAAGAGAGAAGATATTAACATTGCATTTAAATTTTTGAAGATCAAAGTTGACTGGAAAGCAAGAAGCCAAGAAGTGCAAAAGAAGAAACTGTTAGCATAGAACTTACAGTTACATCCAGTCATTTCAACTTTAAAATGAGGAGACCTAGCCACCAATCTAGTACTGCACTTGAATTTATAAAGTCTAGCTACCAAAAAGGAAAGCTCAACAGAACAATTATTAAGAAAATACGAGGGTGGGCAGAAATGTTCATAGGCTGACTATGAAGGGGTGATGCTAGAGCTGTGAGATCTTGCATGCATTAATTTCAACTCTTTTTATTAATATCTGCATTGTTTCTTTCCAGGTAAATTGACATTTGATTGTTCAAAAAAGACTGGTCAAAAAAGTCATCAACAGTAGATATGTTATGACTGTGATATTGGTTCACAGCCAAGTGTTTTTACATATTAAGAAATAGATGATAGTCAAATCAGGAAAACAGGGAGGATAATCAACCAGTTCAAAGCAATGTCACGCAGAGCAGTGATTGAAACCAAGGACTTGTGTGCTGGAGCATTATCCTGATGAAGCCAGACTACTTTCCTCAGTTTTCCTTGGTATTTAGTCTTTACAGGCTTTCTTAACTGCCTCAGCAAGTTGGCATAATACTCTCCATTGATGGTGTGCTCCTTTTGAAGATAGTCAATAAACTCAAAGACTTTTGCATCTTCAAAAAACTGAAGCCATCACCTTCCCTGCAGATGAAACAACTTTGGCTTTCTTCTTTGGAGCAGTTGAGAAGGGGTGTTTCCACTGCATGGATTGTCTCTTTGCCTCTGGCTCAAAGTGATGAACCCAAGACTCATCCTGGGTTAGGAAATGTTCAAGGAAACCAGTTGGATCTGCCTCAAACAATATCAGATTTTCCCATGATGTGATCAGCTTGGTGCGCTTTTGATTGGGTGTCAGAAGACGTGGCACCCACTGAGCAGAAAGTTTTATTAGACTAAGTTCATTGTTCAGAATATTCTCAACTCTCTCACAGGAAATGCTAATAGCATTGGCTATTTGATTTATAGTCAATTGTCTGTCATTCATCACTATGTGATCAATGTTTTCCTCAGTGGTGGCAGTTGCAGGATATCCAGACCTTGGGTCATATTCAAGACTCTCCCCTTCTAAATTCAGCTGCCTACTTTTGTAGTGCTGATAAAGCTGAAACATCATCCCCTAATGAAGCAACCACCATGTCAGCATGAATGTCCTTGGAGGATAAACCCTTTTTTGCAGATACTTTATAACACCACAATGTCAAATTTTGTCCAGTTTTGTTAAGTATACTGAAACTATGAAAAGCTTAAAACCTTGGAATGATTTTTTCAATGATTTATTTTTAGATTGTCTTTTAAATGAAAAACAGAAAAATATTTAAGAGATACAAACCCATATATCACCAGCTTCATTAATTGGAAAATTCTGATAAAGATCTAACATTTCTGGTGCCCTATACATGGGGGTGGTGTTCTTGGCAATCTACAAAGAAATTAAGAAGAATTATATTTTATGTAGTATTGATGATCCTTTATCAGATCTTACAGACTGGTGCTAAAGAATCACAAACAAAGAACTTCAAATAACAGAAACCACATCACTGGAAGAATTCCAACAACGGCAACAACTAAAATGGATAGCACATGTAACTCAAAGGAAAAATAATGATATAATCAAGATATTGATTTTATACACAACTTTAAACAAAAAGGTTAGGAAGGAAGCCCCCCGCCCTCAATACTAGAAAGAGCAATAACAATGGACTTGAGAAACTTGAAACTGAAAGTAACACTCGTTCAGTCAATGAATGCCTAATGTTTCCTGTATGAAAACTGCTAATCTCACTATTATCTTCAAACTGACATTAACATACATCATTGTCTTTGAGGATTTAAATGAGCATGTTGATTCATTTTCTTAATTTTTTATGACTTATCAATCATAGAATCCTGTAAACTACTGTAGTGGATAAAGGATTCCCAAGTGAGACTTGGCATCTGATAATCCACATTCTCCCAAGTGTACAGTAGTTAAAATACGATTTCTTGTATTTTTCTCACCTGAACTATAAGTAAATGATTAATGTACCTCAAAAGAGAGAAAAAAAAAATCATTTATTTTTCCTGATTATTTTACAGAAGTATTATGGTAATGATAATATTAGCAGTTTCCTGATATGGAAATATTTTGCATTCATGGAAGTTATTGTTACTCTTTGGTTGAAATTTATAAAATCTTTCTTATAAAACAATTTCTTAAGAAAATAGGTTTTTCAAGTCAACTGTTATCACTCTTTCTAATATTGATGGGTCCCTAAAAATGTTATTTCGCTAAAAAATTTCTTTTTGGCAACATGAAGGTACATATTCTGAGGGATTCAAAATTGAAAGAAGACCCATCTAAAAATTATCTGATGGTCTTTTTCACATTACCTGATTCATGTAATATCATGTTATTATATGATAAGCAGATTGTTAATTCTGAAAGTTTTTAAGTTAATAAACTTTAGATGTTTTAGCAATTCAAATTAACAGTTAAGCAAATATACAAGGCATTAAAGAGATTGGAAAAAGTTTTTCTTTTTCTTCAATGCCAGCACCATCAACAGGCACATACCTCATCTTCAACCAAACTTCGCTGTATAGCAGACCACGACACATCAGGACTGTGAGTTTTAGTGGTAGCACTTCCAAAATCACACAATTTAATACTACCTTTGGAACTTATTAGTAAATTTTCAACCTGGAAAATAAAGATTTTTAAAAAGCATATTTGAAATAATTCTCAATTTCAATATTTCAGCAAGAAATATAAGCAAGCATGTATACCTTATTATTTAGAATAGGCATCATTGAACAATGATTTTATTATAATTCTGCTTGTCCCTTCCTTAGCACGTATGTTACACTCTGCCAATACCTCATAAATAATGGACTATTCCATTTTGATTATGCAGAAAGACAGAAAAGGCATACCAAGGATGCTACTTGGTTTCAGGGAGAAAGAGGAAAAAAAAAGATAGCAGTATTTTAGTGAAATTGAAAAGTTGTTGATTTCAAATCTTTTCATTTGTACCCCCTTACTTCTTTAAATAATAAACAGTATTTATACTTATGATTGTTATTGCAATATTTTGTTAAGCTGTTAAGCTCAAATATTCAACAATGCAGTAGGGGAATTTCTATGCATATTTTATTAGCGTAGAACTTGTAATAGCTTATTCAATCATCTTAAGAATTAAGATCCATTAGAAAATTCAAATAGGAAAACTGTAAAATTTTCAGGGATATTTCTAGTAACTTGTTAACAGAATTAGGATATAAAATTATTGTTTTTAACAAAAAAAAAAAAAAAAAAACACAATGATAAAATCTGAGCTAATTAAAAATTGGATGTTTTTGTAACTGTTTAATGAATTTTTTTAATCTAGAATAGGAAAAATTGTAAAACACTGTAATTGAAATTAATGATTCTTGTTAAACAATACCTTTAAAATTTACAAGCTAAAAACCATTACATTAAGAGAAGAAACAATAAAGAGAAAAAGAATATTAATAAGACATAAGTACAAACAGAGGTAGACAAAGAAATTGCTACTCATAAGACAGTGATTTCTTTTTTAAAATTTAATCTTTGAACAAAATAACACCAGAATCATCAGGTTGAGAAGTCAATATTTACAAACAAAAATTCATTGATTAGTAAATCAATGATCTGCAGTAGCATTAAGAGTTGTCCAATTATTGTCTGGAGAAATGAATGCCATTAGTAGCAGAAGAAAGAATGATATCTTAGCCATTTATGGCAGAATCTCAAATATAATATATATTCAGCAATGTAACTTGACCAAAGTGGGTCATGGATGGCGTGTTCAAAGGATATAGCTTTCATATTCAATGACGAGTGAATGAAGACACTATATAACTACTCATATAATCAGTATGCAAATCATATAACTAACTATTACACATCATATTGATGTTGCTTTGGCCATATTGTACATATAAAACAAGCAGTAAACATTCCCAAAAAGGAGGAAGAGGCACCATTCATATTTGGGGAGCATCAATAGATCATTTGTTTGTTCCTGCCTTAGGATGTGTTGGGTGGGTTGTTAGAATTACATTGTTGATGGTGGGCATAAGATTTGAGATGAAGAAAACTTGTCCTTTGTTTGGCCTCCTTTTCTCTCTCCAAGTAACATTCTGAATAAAGCAGGAATTCACAATTATAGGAAAGTGAACTATTATATTTTTCTACTCCTAACCATCAAATCACAAGCTGTTTGACAAACAAAAAATTAATATTAAATTGGTGTCAGAACAAGGACTAAATGGTGAAGAAAAATTTGGACAACTGATAGTTAAATATAAATAAAAATTAAATATGAATTGATACAATGATTAGGAGTGAATGGTGGGGGAATCAGAAAAATTATATTTATCTTAGAGAAGCTGATGAGATTGACAGTTTTTGCAGTTACTCATAAAAATGAAATTTATTTTTTTCTACTTTGGTAACAAATTTGTGACACAATAGGTCCCCCATACAAATGGTTGTACACACACCAAGTCAACTGGAACCTAAGGTTATCAGAATCTGAAGTGTGGGGTGTTTTTTATGGCAAGATAGTCTTTGAAACCTCGTGTTCAAAATGTCAATGCAGTTGATTGAAGAGGAACAAAAAAAAAAAAAAAAAAAAAAACTTGAGGCGTTGGTTTCATTTTCAATCCCAAGTGAAAATGTAGCAGGCCTTACCAGTTTTTGTGCAAGAAGTGAAACCCAAGATGCGGATTGATTTGTCTGATCAGTAAATCTGAGTGTGGGCCTCTACCTACATTGTTGTATGTTCATAAATTAAATCCATATATTCTCATAAGGTGGCAATATTTAAGCTTTACTGAATGTAAATGTAATTTAGACAATACCATTCTGACATTTAAAAATGAGTGACACCTATCAAAAAAAGTGTTTCATGTATGTACTTCGGAAGAAATTCTGAAGATTTTCATAATTTCTGGGTTTTCTAATTCTGGTAATGTATCAGATTCAAGACAATTTTGTGATGATGATTATTCTGCAGATATCACACACTGATATTGAAAAATAAAACTGGCCGCATTTAGAGAGTATATAGAAAAACAGAACACACACATTATATAAAAAAAGATTCAGCGGCAATAAAAATTGACAACGGGTATTACTGGAGGATAAAACTTTTAAGTAGTCTTTGTAAGTAAAGTGCTCAATATTAAGAAATAGAGCATTAATAGTAAAGAAATTAAAATAAAAAGTTCAAAACTAGTATCCAATAAACTATAAATAGAACCATTTACTATATTTACTTAAGATTTCCTTTATACAATTTCATTTTGATAATACATGTAATTGAACAATTTCAGATTAGATTACATCACACAAAAAGAGAATAATTCAAAATAAGTTTAAATTAATTTTTTTCATGCAAAGTCTTAAGCAATAAATGATATCTGTTAACAAATTCAGTTGATTTATCTAACTCCCTGATGAGTGGATTCATTTCTGTGAAACTTGATGTATTGAAATCATTTTTTGAACTTATTTTAATTTGTTTTATATATATATATATATATATATATATATATATATATACACACACACACACACACACACACACACACACACACACAGACTGTTCATTCCAGAATATAGTATAAAAAATGTGAATTTCCCAACCTGGCATATATTTTAATATTGTAACTACCAGGTCATGTTTTTTTTCAGAAAATATTAGCAAACATAGAAAGTTTTCTCTGTATGTTTAATGTTTCATACAAATTATCCAATATGTTCAACAAAATATCTAAGAAATATCAATTAAAAATTTATTATCATCACTATGTTCAGTTGAATTATCTTTGACAATAACAGTAATAAATATAGATGTATATTTACAATAACTATATATTAGATAAATAGAAAGAGAGAAAGAAATATATATCAATTAATAGACTAAAAGGAAAACTGGTTTTATTTTTCAATGCAATGCATTGATAGAAGATGAAGTTTTCCTTCTAACTAGTTCAATAATTGGTCACTTGCTGACAGCAAGATGATCAAGTTTCAAATCTAAACTGCAGTATTTTAAAATGAACAAATACTTATTAGAAAATATATTCTGTTTAAATAGAAGGATCATAAAACTGACTTCAAAGGGCTTTTGGTTAATACGCTTTTTCCTGTTATCCAGAAGTTAGCCCTCACAAAATATGTACCGATTTTAATTTCAGTCAAATTGTGAGTGTTTGTTTTTTGTGTAAGTATATATATATATATATATATATATATTCCAATTCAATTACATAATTAATATCTCTAGAAAATTGAAAAAAATAAATTAAAATAATTTTATTTATTATTGATTAATTTCAAAAAGTTTATTTAAATATAATTATTTGATTCTTTTAAGGATTAAAAAAATGAAGTTTTTTTTTTTGCCAAGAAATTAGTCATGCCATTTTTCATCTCATTCTACTTGTACCATTTTTATATAAGTTCATTTTAATGTCCATTAATTTTTTTTTTTTAAAATTTAACCTAAATTCATTTTATTGTTATAAGTAATAAACTGGGTATTTACTTTGTGACCATGAATATGCTATCAGGTTGTCATTACCAATAAATAGATATGAGTAAACTGATACAGGACAGATATAAAAATAGACTGATTGAAATAGACATGAATAAAAACAGAGTGAAATAATTATTGATAGGATACTAAAGCTGTTTCACTGTAAGAGAAAGAGAAGCGGATTTGTTTTTTTTTGTTTTTTTATTATTTCACAGCCATGCACACATGAAAGCAAAGAAACAGTTTGAGGGAAATTAAACTGTTCATAAGTTTATTTATTTTCTGCTTTTTCTTGTCTCCAATTTTATTGCTCAGCCCATAGTAGATGTCCAGACTGAGTGAAGCAGGAATTATTCCAATGTCTTACTTCAAACTCAATCAAATTGTATATGTGCTTGTTGTACATTAAATAGCAAGAGAACATGTAACTTACTCACAGACATATAGGATATACATTACATACACACATGAGAAGTCACATGCAGGCAATATGTGATAGAGAGCCAAAAACCTGTTTTAGTACTATTTTCATTGCTCAACCCATTGTAGTGGATGTCCAGACTGAGTGAACATGTGATGGAAAGAGAGTCAGTTCTTTTATAATATAGATTTCTAAAACAAAAACAAGTTTCAGTACAGATTTCATGTTGATATAATTTAATTCATTAATAGTAGACATTAATAAATAGATATCTTTGATAATTTACATGAGGTCATTGTCATAAATGCCATGATGGGATCTGGTAATTTTATATCCTTAGCCCTAAACTTGAAATACACATGCTTAAAAATTGTTCATGAAATCATGAAAGTTGGTATTTTCTGATCATTATAAATTGTACAAATATTTAAATGCAGCAAACTGTCTCTTACCTTTATCTGGTAAAAAAAAAATTAAAAAAAAAAAAATCATTAAATTTCCTCAGTAATATGTCAACACCATTTTCCTTTTAGAAATTATTTACACTTATTTCTGATAATACTGTTTAGCTCTTCTACACACTGATGAAAATATGGCCAGTCCATGCTCGTTTTTCAGTAATTCAGCTAGTTTGTCTCATATGGAAATATCCTGTTTCGAACTCTCACAATTTATTCTCCAGCTTATGTAGCTACTTTGATGAACACTAACTAGAAAACAATGACTATGCTGTTACTATTGCAAGTTTAAACTTTTCAGGAAGAAAACTAGCAAAGAGATGGTTTTCAGTTCACTGCGGTATGGGATTACCAGGAAATTGCCAAAAAGATGGTATCTATCTACAGTCCCACTCGAGTAAAATATGGCACAAGGTTATATTTAAAGTGGAATTCCCACATATACATGGGATTGGTAACAAAAATTGCTTGGCTCCCTCAGTACTTAGCTACTGGGACAACTCGGGCATTGATCATGTCCTTGCCCATCTTAGTGTAATTATAGTATATTATTTCTTTGAATCAAAATCTATCAATGAATGCAGATTACAAGAAATCTTCACAAATCATAAAGAGTATTTATCCACATTTCCACGCAAACAGAAAGTGACATAAGGTCAACTTTAAAGTGGGATGGGAGTCCATGTGGACATAAACTAGAGACAAAAATGACCCAAGTCTATTAGCACTTTTCCTTTTTAGAACATCTCAGGTGCCAGGTAATGACCCTAACCCCAAAGGAGAGGTATTCCCTGGGGATTGAGCACATCATATCAAGACTCACTGGCAGATGAAGATTATGATAGTGATTTATTAAGTGTAGGTTAGGTATGACACAAAGCTGCAAGTATTTAGCTCCCAATGAGGACTGAACTCACTACTAAGTTGTAATTGTTCTAGCAAGGCAAACTTGGTAACTATTACACCATATTTAAACTAAGTGTAGGTTAGGTATGGCACAAGGCTGCAAGTAACTGATCTAGTGAGACAAGCTTGCTAACCATTACACCACATTGAAGTCCCTAAGTAAAGATTGTGATAAAACTGACTGAGGAGAATCCAACTTATTTAATCTTAGTGAAACCCTAGGTCGATCCTGGTCAATGGCAACAAATAATGTAGCCCATTCCCCCACGTTGGGTTTCAAGTTCCTTTTGACCACTATGGTTACCATCTAGCTGACCCCTCACATTAATGCATTGCTGATTGGTCACAGGTATTGTGTTGATGAGCACAGATCCACTCAATATAGTTGGCATTTGTCTCCAATCCTCTACCATGTTGTGTTTTTGATCTCAGAGGGTGAGAAAATTGATGAAGAAGTAAACTGAAGCAAATCACAGGTTTATGACAAGGAGCTACACAAAAAAAGAATTCTTTAGAATAAAGAATTAACTCTGGTTAAAAATGTAACAACGATTTTTGTTTATATATGATTTGTTGTATACAGCGGTTTTAACCTGTCCCACTTACCATTGTAATCAAATGATACTGGAATCTCCTTTTGGAGTTATTGCAGCTTGTGTTAGTAGTAATTTAAATTTCTAAGTTCTGGTCTTCAAGGCAGGCACAAGGTCTTGGCAAATGATATGGATTCCAGGAGCAGTAGTGTGGGAACTCTCCAAGTTGCCCAAACCTCCAGTTTATATGGAGTCCTGCATCTGGTAGGGATGGGCTTGACCAGGGTCTGGGTTTGGATATCTTCCACCCTTAGCATCAACCTTTTTCTAAAATTCCATATTCTCAAAATATTTTTACTCAAGTGAGTTTCCAAATTTGGGATTGTCCAACTTCCTTTTGAGAGTGGTCTGAGGAATCAAACCAACCCTCCAACTCTCTTTACTTTTCATCTTGCACCATCGCTCCATACAGTTGGTGCTAATCTCTTTCTCTTCCTTCTCCCACTTTCTCAGCATATAACCTCAGCTCACTCCAAGGGACAACACACTGTTCCTGTGACAAATCCAAACTTTCAGAAGGCGTAGACAAAAAGGGATTTTCCAATAATTAATCTTTCTTCATCAGCTTGTCTCACACTGTGATTTCCCAGAGCCAGAGACTTGTTCAGAGCCCGTCCAGATGCCCCCCTTCCCCTGCGAGCCAATCTCAAAAGAAAAAAAAAAAATCTTTCCTCTGTTTATGTGTTTTCTTGGTCAACAAGATCACACAGCCTTTTTGCCCACAATCACTCCATAATAGTAACAATTTTTCTTTATCACTTGTATCCAAAGGAATCCAAATTAATGTTGGATATAAATTTTTTTCTTGACAAATGACACAGAAATTAAAATGAACAAACCCATCAGGCTAATCTCTATCTTTGTAGAGACACTTTTCTTCTGCATGGGCAATTCAAACCACATGGTTTTTCCTGGCTTTTTGTCAAGAAAGATCTTTAAATGTTATTTTGGTGACCACCCAGCTTTCCTTATTGACAACATGTTTTTCTATTTGACATCTTTGAGGATATATGAATGTATCATTGGAGGGAAGTGAAGGGAAAGGAAGATTACATGTCCTTCCTCAATTGAAGGGGAAGGACAAGTAATCTTGATTTTGCTCAGTTAAATTTGAGTTCAATTCCCCTTGGAACCACTCAGGAGTTCACTTACGACTGTGAAACGTGATTTTTCAATGCATTTCATTTTTAATTTTCTTCTCAACTTTTCAATCCATCCTCCTGTGAGTTTCAACAATTATCATCCAGTTAGTAGACTCTTTCATCTTCATTTTTTTCTTCCTTTCTTTTCCCAGTGTCACATCAGTGGAAGAATCCATTTATAGAGGGAACTATGCATTGTTTATAATTTGGACAGTTCCATAGTTTTAACACCTTACACTGAAATCTGACAAGAAAATTTGGCTGTTAAATAATCAGAGGTACAAAACATTTTTAGGTTGACACCTAACTGATAAAACATGCACACATTTTATGTTTGTAAACACATGCAGATGTGTATTAGCACAGACATACAAATGAAAAAAGAAATTTTAAAAGTTAGTTATTGATAAGATATTACAAATAAGTACTTCAAAAGAAACTTGGTATACCTTGAGATCTCTGTGAATTATGGGCGGTTTCTGTCGGTGCATATGCTGTACGGCTCGACATGTTTGGTATAATATCAACAAAACTTTATCACATGGCAAAGGAGCACCTCCTTGTCGCTTTAGAACATCTATTAATGGACCACCTGCAAAATAAACATATTAGAAATGAATATTTAATAATGTGTATTGAAAAATAAAAATGGCTAAGTGCTCATATCTGAGTATGCCTATCTTCTAGGGTGGCTAGCCAATCCCTGTTACAGACACCTGTTCAGGTACATTTGTGTTTCTTCATCACCCTACTTGTAGTTTATACTGCACCTGTGTTGAGTGAATTTTAGTTACAGCTTCTGGGAGCAAGTGCATAATCTGGTGTGATCAGTAGAACAAAGTCACCATGCTCAGTTATGATGACTTGCAACTTCATCTGAAAAACATCCATAGATGGCTTCCATATTCATATATTGTCCTACAGACAGGAAATATGAATCTGATCAAAAAATAATCAGTAGCCTCAGGCCTGAAATAATTGTACTCCACCACTCTACTTACTGAAGAATATTTCACCCCAAACCATTTATTTATTTTTGTAGAAACTTTCTATTCCAGATGAATGCTTCCAGCGCCTCAGTTTTTTCCAACCCTAATCTTATTAGATTTTAGACCCACACCCATATTTATTCCAACTTCACTTTTTTTCTTTTTGAGTTCACCCTATACAAGGCAGTAAATGCCAGTGAGATACAAGGGATTATTGGGTGTTGAAGAGTTAGAAACATTGCTAATGAGAGAGAACAAAAGAAGAATAATCAGGAGTACAGCAGATAGTGGTCAACATTGAGTTTAAATTTTTTTCAGATTAAAGTTGGCTGGAAAGCATGGAGCTGGAAGGGAGTTCTACAAGTGAGAAGTGCAAGAAAAGAAAGTGTTAGCATAGAATTTATGATTACATCAGGCCAACTCAACTGTAAATTGGTGAGTCCTTGTTGCCAATCTACTACTGCTCTTAAATTGAAATAGGGACCATAACAAAGAACTCATCTGAACAATTACCATGAAAGTATTTATAGAAAAGGCAAACTTAACTTATGGTGGTGTTGGAAAGTGATTGAAGCCAAGAGGCCAGATCAGGACAATAATATTCATTCTTCTTTGGATTTTATCAAGGAGTGCTAGAAAAGAAAGATGTACAAAAATCATTATTGAACAATTACCCAGCTTGTTTATTTTAATTTCATTAATAAAGTTTGTGACTAAACCTCAAAGTTCAGATAAAGTCCATTTTTCATTAAAATTTTTATTCATTTTATAAATGGATGATTACACTGAATATTTCAGCATTTAATTTGACAATATTCAACATTTTGAAATTAAAAGAATATTTATCACTGACTTAATTTACTATTTGCATGTAAGTATTTTTTTATTATGATATCTAACAGAGGTTATATTTTATGATTCATATTAAACAAAGAAAAAATTGTTAAATTCTAATTTAATGTCTTTTTATACATGAATAAAAGTAGAGAATTTAAAAAGCCCAGACCTTGTTATTAGAGCTTACAAAATTTTCAGATATCATTTAGAATTCTTTTAAATCATTTCACCCCATGCAAGACAGTAAAAACAAGAGGTTACTTAGAGTGAAAGAAAATGAGAAAGACATTAGTGACAAGAAAGGTCAATAAAAGAACAAGATACAGGAAGACACAAAATGACAACTGATGTTGCACTTAAACTTTTGAAGATCATAGGTGACAAAGAAGCAAGAAGCTGGAAGAGAGTTCCACAAGCAAAAAGTGCAAGAAAAGAAAGCACTAAAATAGAACTTACAGTTGTATCTAGCTATTTCAATAGTAAAACAATGAGAACTAGATACCAATCTAGAACTATACTTAAATTCATGCAATCTAGGTACCAAGGAGGAAAGCAATATTTATTCTGTGAAAATACAGGAATATGGCACACAGTCAAGGGGGGGGGAGGGGAAGGATAGTGTACTTCTGTTTTATAATTAAACTTAGCAAGCCACAATTACTGACCCAAACATACCACAGTATTCCTTATGTAAAAACACATTCTTACTACATCCACCAAGGAGGAAAGCTCATCAGAACTATTGCCATGAAAATATTTATAGAAAAGACAGAGAAAAACAATGTTATGACAGTTGAAATAAATGTTTTGTAGTTAATGTATTTCAATTGATAATTCTTGCTGGTTTGTGTGTATCTAATTGGACTTATAGGTTAAGTTAAAGTAAGCTTTTGAAGTTCCATAGAGTGAATTGAGGAATTCAAAGTTATTTCTTCAAAATTATCATTGTTGTTTTCTAAGCTATTGGCCAGAAGCCCAATTAGCCCTCTACAGAAGAAGAATACAGCTTTTAAGCTAGTTTTCAATATTTCAGAAAGAATTTAGTTTTGGTGCAAATAAGCATTAAAATGGAAAATGGGGAAACACATAGCATAGCATAACCTATACACACATGTATATAACATTAAAAGATACTATCATAGATATATTTGGGAATCACAAAGGCAATAATATTACACAGTACAGACTTAGTGGAAACAGGATGAGCAATAACTGAACAGTACCCAAAAAAAGCAAAACAAGATGTACCTAGACATGGACAATAGAATGATAACAATCTACTCCTGTAGATTAAATAAAGGATTCAATTCAAAAGACCAAAGAGTACAACAGCTGAAATGTTATAATAATAAAAACAAAGTTGGCAACATTAGTCTGACTGTAAATTGTAATTCTTCATTCCCAAAATTCAGAATTATTTCTTTTCTAGCACTTCTGGCTTGTGGAACTCTATTCTGGTTCTATTCTTTCCTGCCAACGTTATTCAGCAAAAATTTAAATTCAATGTCAATCACTATCTACTGTACTCCTGATTATTATTCTTTTGTTGTCACACTTTAGTCATGTTTCTATTTCTAACTCTTCAACACTCAGTACCCTGGGGTGAACTAGATTTAAAAAAAAAAAAAAAAAAAAAAGAAATGAAGTTGGAATAAATATGGGCATGGGACTTAAATCTAATAAGATTAGGGTTGGAAAAAGATCCAAGGAGATGGAAGGATTCATTATATATATATATATATATATATATATATATATATATATATATATATATATATAATTTCTAAAGAATTAATGCATTTATTTTTAATCCAACACTTTTATTACTTCTATTGTAAGTGGAGACTTGTAATTGAAATAGATGCTGCACTTTTATTTTAAACAGTGTGTCTATCATCTCTCCTGTGCATTTGCAAAATCCTAATAAAGAAAATGTGTTCTCTGGCAGAGATGAAAATTGCATCCCTCTTTGTCAGGACACAGGCTTGATCTCTGCCAAAAAACACGTTTTCTTTATTATGATTTCTGAAATGTGATGGTGCAAGTTAAGACACAATGCACACTGTTTAAAATAAAAATGGGGGTCTGTTTCAAATACAAGTGTCCACCATAATAACATTTGAAGCAATTAATAAATTACTATATATGATAGACTTTCCCATCAATTTCAACGTATGAGTATCCGACAACTTCATTCAGTTTTTATGTTTGTGTCTTATATGACATTTCATCCCTGCTAGTGACTTGCATACAGGTTCACATATTGTGCAAGATCAAGGATCTTCAGACATAGCCACAGAAATATTTGTTGATGCTTTTCACCATTGTCCTTCATCTCTCAGTCGGTCAATATGAATGATTTTGAAATTTCTGATATCACAGGCACAAATATCTCCAGTTATTTCTATTCAGGACAACTCAAAGTTAGTATGAGGCACATTGACAGCTGAGAGGTTACTCTTTAGCTTGTCTTTACATCTAAGCCATGGCCATCTAACAGTCCTTTGTCCACCCTCAAGCTGGCTATACATGAGGATCTTAAGTATTCTGTTGTCACTGATACTTGCAACATGACCAGCCCATTGTGACTGCATCGGGAAAGTCTCAATTCCACCAAAGTTGCATTTTGCGAGAAGATCAGCATTGGATACCCTAACGTTAAAAGTATAGCCACAGATTGCATGGAGACAACTTTTGTGGACGACATCCAGCTGATTGATATGGGACCTATGGAGTCCACAATTCTGAGCTGTACAACAGTGTGATCAAAGGAGCTGTTCTATAAACCTGTATTTTGGTGTCCAATTTGATATTGCTCTCATTCCATAGGCAGTGGCAAAGCTTCCCAAATACTTTGGCAATCTGATTTGTTATTTCATCACCAAGGGATACATTTGCATTCATTTTGCTTCCTAAATATGTAAATGACTTCAAATAATTCAAGTTCTTCCCATTAATCTGTATAGGAGTGTCTGGTCATTTTAAAAATTTATTCTATTTAAGATACTAAAACTCAAGACAGAGTTTTGGAGATAAACTCAAAGTTTATCATTGTCTATTACAGACACTTAAATGCCTTTCATAAAGCATGAGCATCCATGAGCAATGCCTCAACTCATTAGGTGTTATCTTGGGGACCTGAGCAGTGAAGAGACAGATAATCCAGGACATTCTGTTGAAAATTCTTGATATTATCATTTCTTATAATATCATCCATATTTCTGTCCTCTTGAACAAAGGTTTAGGGTTTTACAAAAATAGGAGTTTTCTCAAGCACTTGGTTCTGAATGACCCTAATCTTCTCCCTTCATCGACAAAGAGAGTCTATGTCTGTCAATGATACAGTGAGCAACCTGAAGAGTCTGAACTTTACCTGGGAACTGATATTGCTCTTTCACACACTTTCTAGCTTGTTCATCACTGTAGTGATCTGTATTTGAATTTTTCTTGTGAAGGTGCCACCTCATGATAAACTGTCATATGCACATAAAACCACTTATAAACAATCACTGTCATTTCAAAAATCTTGTACCAATAATAAATGTATTCCTAGTTGGAGATGATTTCCTGAAATATGTTCAAAGTACTGGTGCACAACTTTTTGCTTAATTCACTTATACAAAATTTTTCTCAACTCCATCTTGCCTCACTGCTTGCCAAATGCT